TACCGGATCGTTTGATCCAGTCCGAACCGGGAGCATTTCACCCCTGATATAGCTCCCCCAGAAGAATTGGTAGTAGTAGGCACAATAATAATAAATGCTGAAGGTGGTAGAAGTGATTCTGCTTGACCCATTCTAATTATACAAGTAACATTAATTGTACAGGTATATCTAACTGCAATATTGATCATGTTCTCTTACAATCCATATTGGAGTTTTATAATGGATAATAGAGGAATAAAAAGGGAGAAAGTTCATCTGGCAGAATTTACCTATAATTTACAGGCATCTGGTGGCACAATGGGGCTCAAGGTTGACTCAGCCTTTCATCTTTCCAAGGTTGGTAAAATGAGGATCCAGATTGTTGGGGGCAATATGCAAATAATACTGCTATTGTAAACCACCCAGAAAGTGCTGTGAAGCGCTATGAGGCAGTATAGAAACCTAAATGCTCTTGCTGTTCCTATCTGTCTGGATTCTTCTAGTTGATCAGAACTTTACTTGTCCTATTAAAAGACTTCACTTCTTTTATCTCCATACAGTGCTTTGTTCTTGTTTAGAATTCATATTACTGGTATTCTTTGTTTCCTTTTTTTCTTTTCCCCTAGTAGCCTAGTAGTATTTTTGATCTGAAAAAAAGCTTTGAGAGAGTTATTCCCTCATGATATTGTCACCTGAGATTTAATGGAAGTATGCAATACTGCAGATTGCCGGAAAAGTGATTGTAAAATATAACACCAGGAAGACTATAGAACCCTTTCAGCCACTTTCTAATTAAATTGAAGAAGCCACCCAGTGGGACATTTTTGATACTGGCATTTATTTTGGGGAATTTATTACAATTTGGACAAGTCAAGCTCAGCCATGAGCTCCAAAGATTCATCATTTTTTTTTTGGCCATATTTTTATTCATAGTGATTTGACTGGGATGTAGAATATAGATTTACAGTTTTAGTTGAAATGCCCATTGCGTTCTAAATGAGTAGATGGTTGCACATTAATATTTTTTGTGGTTGGAATTATTTAGCAATTTTATTATTCTATTTCACGATGATATAGCAGAGGTCACACTGACAGTGTTTTCCACCTGAAAGGTGGACTACAAATTGTTGAAATGTAATAACTGAATACATCACTGAGGGCTGAAATACTTGTCACATCAGTTTCCATCATAAAAGTTGTCTGTATGCGGTTGTTCATATAAACAGGAAAAAAGGGTATACCCATGATTTAGTGTTAGCTACTAAAAGGAAGTTGTGTAGGCAGAGCTTTGGACAAGATGACTCTATGGGGACATACATATATTATAAATGGAAACTTCTCAGACATTTGTGTTTAGTACTGTCTAATGTTGAAAGAGGCACATTCAAGAAGCCAAGCCAAGACAGGTAGTCCCACCCATTCTGACCAAAGCTGGTCCTATGTTTAGGTACATTGAGTTAGCAGATGAATTAAATTGATTTATAATTATTTTGTTAGAATGATTATTGTCAGGAATAGGAAAAAAATATTTGTGGTACTGTCTCTTCATTGTTAAAATATTTTGACTGGTCAATAAGAGTAGGCCAAGAAGTACCATTTACTTTGTCTCAGGAGTGGAGGGAACTTGTAGGCTGGTCTCCCTGTGCCCTTTCTATATCTTTTGCCTTGATCTATGTTCTCTTATTATTTCATCCTTGAAATATGTGAAATACTTTCTATTTAGGCATGCATTAATGTACAGATGGTAAAGCAATAGACAAACATGTTTCTAATAGACCTTCCAGATGCTTAAATTAGGGCAGAATATGTATTTTTTTTTATCTCATTCTTTTCTGTCTTAAAAATGGAGGTTAAAGAAGACAAACAAGGAATTCCAAGTTCTTGTGCTTATATTTTAATGTGAAGGAAGGAAAAGTGTAGTAGAGAGAACTGCTGAAGAATTAAAGAGCATAAATACTTTAGCCACTAAACCCTCTTTCTATCCTCCCATGAACCCCCCCCTTCCCAATTTAAATGGACTGCCTACTCCAGTATTTCTCAACCTTGGGAGTTTTAAGAAGTATGGCCTTCCATACCAGAATTTCTCAGCCAGCCTGGCTGGTTGGGGAATTCTGGGAGTTGAAGTTGAAATCCACAAACCTTCAAATTGCTAAGTGAGAAACACTGGCCTTGACTGAAGTGGGGGCACACAAAGCCCAATACCCATACATACATACCACTTTATACGAGCCCAAATTATATTTGCTAGTATAATACTACAAGAAGAAAATGGATTGCATATGAGTGCAGAATTGTAATAATTTATTACTAATCCACTTAATTGTCTATTGGAAAACTGAAAGTTGTGGCATGGTTGAAGATTACCATGTTTATAGAAGGGATTAGATTTAATGGCTGGATTCACACATTGCATAATAGTGGCCTGGTACATACCGGTATTTAACACAGAATTATAGGCATGACCTACAGACCCCTGTAGCAGAATTCAACATCAGGCTAAGACAAAACCAAACCAAGTTATGGTTTGCTATGATCTGTGAACCCATAATGTGCAGAAAACACATTGTTGCATTGCATACTATTTCTAGGGCTTATTAAAACTTGATACAATAATTTTCATTTTTTAAAAAATGTACCTCCATGATTCAGACTTGCTAAAATCTCTTAGCAAATGCATTTCTCTTAGTAGTATAAAAAATAAAGGTTCCCCTCGCACATATGTGCTAGCCGTTCCCGACTCTAGGTGGTGGTGCTCATCTCCATTTCAAAGCCGAAGAGCCAGCGCTGTCTGAAGACGTCTCCTGGTCATGTGACTGGCATGACTAAACGCCAAAGGCACACGGAACACTGTTACCTTCCCACCAAAGGTGGTCCCTATTTTTCTACTTGCATTTATGTGCTTTCGAACTGCTAGGTTGGCAGAAGCTGGGACAAGTAACGGGAGCTCACCCCGTTATGTGGCACTAGGGATTTGAACTGTTGAACTGCCAACCTTTCGATTGACAAGCTCAGCATTTTAGCTGCTGAGCCACCGCATCCCTTGTCTTAGTAGTATAGTAATAGACAATTAAGTGGATTTCTCTTAGTAGCACAATGCAGTGCAGTACAGGCAGAATTCCTTTTTCTGCTTGGCCCATCTTTAATGTGACCTGGCATGCCTCATCCTCTCCAGCAGCTATTCACATAGTTACTCACATAGTCCTACATTGCCATTTCATCTTGGGTTCCAGGCAGCTATGTTCTGTGCTGTGCTTAGCAGTTGGCACTTTAAAAAAAATAATCTTGTAATTGATTCAACTATGACCTGTTAAATCCATGACTGCCATCAATTCTAGAAACTCATGCTCCCTTCATTCCTGGCACCCTTTGGGTTCCTGTTCAGGCTGGAGGAAGCATGGTTCCATAGTCCCATAGAAATAATTGGGAACAACACAGGAAACTATCAGCTTAAAATTGCAATATAGAATTGCCCTACATAGCATCATACAGCAGACTTGGACAATTTGCTTGAGCCCTACCACTCTGGCAGGGCTCAGCAGTACAGTATCACTTGTCCTGGCATTGACTGGCTGTGTTTGAGGGCTGCTTTTTAAACTTCACATAATGTCCTGAATACATATTACATTAATGTAACCTGCCTTCCATCGAGGACCTGTATGCTGCAAAGAGGGCTGTGAAAATATTTACAGTGTCGCATCCTGGACACAAACTGTTTCAACTCCTACCCTCAAAACAACGCTATAGAGCACTGCACACCAGAACAACTAGACACAAGAACAGTTTTTTCCCCGAATGCCATCACTCTGCTGAACAAATAATTCCCTCAACACTGTCAAACTACTTACTAAGTCTGCATTACTATTAATCTTTTCATTGTTCCTATCACCCATCTCCTCCCACTTATGACTGTATGACTGTAACCTGGTTGCTGGTATCCTTAAGATTTATATTGACTGTTTCCCTATGACTATCATTAAGTGTTGTACCTTGTGATTCTTGATGAATGTATCTTTTCTTTTATGTACACTGAGAGCATATGCACCAAGACAAATTCCTTGTGTGTTCAATCACACTTGGTCAATAAAAAATTCTATTCTATTCTATTCTAGGAATTAGAATGGCATATTTAAACCACCTATTATGAAGCAAGGCATGTGATTGCCTATTAGCTTTGAAAAGGCCACAAAAGAGATATTATTACTAATTGACACTTGCCATTGGCCTGATATAAGTAATCTTGAGTCAATGGGCAATTTGGTGATCCAGTGCAGTAGGCAGCATCTGTCCATCAATCCTTCCTTCCTTCCACCCACCCACCCATCCATCCATCCATCCATCCATCCATCCATCCATCCACTGATCCACCCATCCATCTATGCATCCTGGCAGAAAGGTATCAATGATAAGCAGTAAAAAGGTCAGCAGCAAATCTGTGTAACAGGTCTTAGTATCCCTTAATTCACTGCTATGCAATTTCCCAGAAAGAACTGGGATTTAGCTTCTGGATTACTGTAACTGAGGTGAATAGAGAATAACTCAAATCACCTTTATCACCTTGATGTTTCCTGATAAGAATGGACTTCAGTCTTCATAATTTCAGCAGGAAAGCCCGCACATGAAAAGGGCATCTTAGACATGCAGGATCAGAAGAACGGCAAAGCTTAGGCTGATTGCATCTGTGAAGGAGGATGCTTCCTTTCAGAAGCAAAAGTTTGTTCTAAAGAATGCTTTAGCATCTCATTGCCTCCTCATTTTCCAACAGTCTGAATCACTGAATAATTTTTTCTGAATCAAATATGTGTGGACCCCAATCCGTTCTTTCAAGGGAGAGCTTTTCTTGAACAACAGCAGGGAAAGGTAGCTGCTCTCAGAAACTGTGTATTTAAGAAAGAAAAGAAAGAAAGAAAGAAAGAAAGAAGAAAGAAAGAAAGAAAGAAAGAAAAAAGAGGGAGGAAGGAAAAGTTTGAGGGAAGAAGAGTGTAGCTTCTCCTGATTCGATTGTTTACCATCAGTCATGCGATTCCTTGCCAGGGACTGGATGATTATTAGGCTGAAGAAGCTGAAAGGGGGCAGGAAAAGAACTGGAGGCAGCATTCTTCCTATTTAAAGCTGCATCACTTGAGGGGGGAAAAGTGTTTGCAGGCTGCGCAAGAGCCAGAGCTGCTTAAAAAGAAAAGGCAAGCAAGAGAGGAGCTTGCAGACTTTCCGTGTGTCCTGTGGGAGTGCTAAAAGAAAAGAGCTGGCTTTATGATGTCCATATGATCTTCTTTTGTACACTTTTTGTTTTGCACTTTTCCTCTAAGGAGGATATACATGTCTAATATTTAGACATGATGGCCATCTGGACCCAAAGAAGAACGTTTGTCATTCTTATTGCTTTTCTAGGACATTTGGGGACGATACGAACACAAGAAGAGGACGAGTTTGAAGGGGGTGAGTTTCTCTTTAGAATGCCGAAGGTCACTTTTGTGCTTTGAAGCTTTGAAATAAAAGTCAGCTTGGAAGTGCAGGATGCCCTCTGTTTATTTGTGTGGGTGTACTGTGAACTAGGGGATTGAGAGGAAGCTGAAAAGTCAGCTAATGGGAAATGGATTTTAAAAGCTAAAGATTTTTTTTTTGCCTCCTGCCATCTGCACGGTGGACAAGGAAGAGAGGAAGAACAATGGGGGAAAAAAAAATTCACCGAGCTCTTAGGGATAAATGCAGTTGTCTCGCTTTGTTTCTGTGTATGTCGTTTTGAAAAAGAAGTCTTATTACTGTTTGTAATAAGTTTGCAGTTGTGATGAAACAGAAATGCAGCCCTTGGAGACAAGCCTAAACTTTCTGAACAGAGGGAGAGGGAGAGGGAGAGAAGTAAACACAAGGAATTGGAAGGGTGGAGTCCTTTTGCACTGCCTAAGCTACATCTGTTTTATTCAATTCTTTGTTAGCGAGAATTGCACAGAACTTCTTTCTTTTTTGGTTCCCTTTTCTCCCCGCTGCTTCTCTGACTTTCTCTCTGCATTTCTTTGCTTCTTGGAGTTAACCATTCCCCCCTTTTCCTAAGAGACTCGTCTTGATGAAATCCAGACTTTGTGACACTCTGTTCTTTCACCCTTCTGGCTGGGCTATCAGCACCCTGCATTTTGCTCCCTGGTGCTTGAGGACAGGAAGTCTAGTCAGGAAGCATAGTATTTGTCTTCGTGGCATGGCGATGGATTCCATTTAGCCAGCATGTTGGCTTCCAGTTCATATCGGTTCAAGGTTAATGTTGGGAGGATTCCTAACTGGCTTTCTGTGACACCCACTTGGATTCAGGTGTTCCGAATTTGTTCTGGTTAGATTAGAAACTCAAGGGGAACTGTGAAAAGGATGAGGATTTTATTTGGTTTATCTGCATTTGCTAAAACGCTACACTGATTTGTAAGAAATTGGAATGGTGGATGAAGTTTGTTTGTGTGTGTGTGTGTGCGTGTAAGTGTGCATATGTGAATGTGTATCTGCAGATTGTTGGACAGTATTACTAAAATGGTTTGGATATTTTCGGGCAGGAGAGCTTGCATACCCAACGTTTTGGATGGACAATCAAATATGAACAAGGTCAAAACTTTTTTCCACCCTGCTGGAAGTCCAATAGAGATAAGGATGTTACTGTGCTGTACACTGTAGAAGGAGACCTCTAGAGGGTGCCCTTTATGTAATCAAAACAGGCTCTAAGATAATGTCAGATTTGCATGGGACATGCTTCAGAGAGATAGATTCGCAGTGGAAAGACAAGGCCACTACCCAAATTCACAGCCCAGTCCTATGCAGCCTTCCCTTGGAAATGTGTGCCATGGAATTAATGGGGTTTGCAGGGCAATCCTTAGGAATTCCATTGATTTAATAGGGCTTATTTCTGAGCAAGTGTGAATCAAATCAGCCAGTCCTTCCTCGCTGTTAAAAGACAGACAAACATGACAGTGAAACTTTAAGCATAAGATTTTTAACTGCCAAAGAAATTAAAAAGCATGCCCTGAACAAGCTGTTTAAGTGGGGTTAGGTTAGTACACGCCATTTGTTTTGTTTATGTGCAGCCTGGGGGTACGCCAGTGATCTTGTGTTGGGCAACACATTTTCCACTATATGTCATATGCAAGGGAGATTTTCATTAAACAGTCAGGAGGCCAAAATATGAACTATTTGTTCTAGGACTGAAACGTTTAAATGTTGTCTCGTGCAATAATGCGATTAAGCCCTTGCATTTTTTGAGGGCTGCCAGCCTTCTAAAATCAGAACCTAACTCAGCCCAGCTGTAATCTTGTTTTCTGTGGAAGGTTACCAGCTTGTTTCATGGTAAGGATTATCTGTTGTCATGATCTCTTATTCAGAAACAACGTGTCTTCGTAAGTCCAAATAATACTGTACATTATATTTCATCTAGGATTACTCCTAGGCCATAGAATGCAAAAGCTACTGAAAACCCAGCTCACAAAATCCATCAGCTATTCGCATAGCTGCCTCTACAAACTGGATGGCAATCTAGAGATAGGGTGCTGTCTATGATCCATCATTCAATGCCTGCTCAGGGAGAGAAAAAGAGGCTTGGAATCCCTTATTTTCCCAAGATCTGAGGTCCTCATTTCCAGCCAGGTGGACATTATCACCCTTCAGTTATTGCTCTTAGGCTTATGACTCACTACTTGCATACATTTAGTGAACTTGTGAATCTCCATAAATTATTGAACTTGAAGTATCACTAGTCCAGCCAATGTAGTTAGTGTTGAGAGATGCTGGTTTAGCAACATCTTAAAGGCCACTGGTTTTAACCCCTATCCTAAATGCTCTGTTCAGAATTCTCTGAATCACCAGTAGTGTGGCAATGGTTGGCCAGTAGTGCTTTTCCTTGATTGTAATTTTCAAAGTGTGGCTGGAGGCCTTTCCACCCTTTTAAAGTGGACCTCTAATCTTTTTTTAGATTAGTAGAAGTAATTGAATCTCACCTAACCATCCTCTCCTTCCTCCTGTTTTACCTATCGTTTACAGTGCTTCAGATTATTATTCTTTCTTCCTAGTTTTGAAAGTTTTGGCCCCCTGCTTCCTTGTAAAAAGCTGAATCCAAAGCTGTGGGAGTTACCCTCAGTGGAAAATATTTGACTTATTTTATGAACTGTTAAAGCAAATATTGACCAATCTTCTGGACAGATATGGAATGTTATACTTCATTGATGTTATGAACAAAACTTTAACTTTGCATTCATTCAAAATCTGATGGATTTGGTAAGAGAAATTAAATTAGTATTTATTTATTTATTTTATATGCCAGTTTTCTGCATATCAAGGGACCTCTGATATAGAATCAGTAAAACAAGGCAGCCATCAAAATTAAAGGGAATGAGAAGATTAACTAGGCATCCCTAAATTCTCTGCAGATGCAAAAGGAATGGTGCCTTATAAACAGAGATGGGTTATGTTGTGGCTCCAAGTACCATATGGGGCTAAGGAGTATCTTAGGATGTGATTTGGCTATTCAATTATTCTGTACATAATTTCCTACATTGGTCTGAGTCATACTTTTTTTAACCATGATTTATTAATTCAGCCAAAATGACAGTGTTTGCAGCAAACGCTAGTCAACAAACTATGGCACATAAGACAGAATAGTTGTGGTTACAGAACATTTTAAGAGTGATTAATGAACCCAGTCAATAGATAAACTGACCATGACATTTATAATATATAAAAATGAAAAGTCAGCTAATTGTACTCCCCAGAGTGTACTTCATACTGGTTTTTTTCTTATGTGGAAAAAGAACAAACGTAAAAATGTATTGTGCTTTATTTTCCTCAAGGAAAACTGGGACTTATATATATATAAGTGAACATATATATGTTCACAATGGCAGCTTTTCAAGGGGTAAACCTAAATCCTTGTTGGTACCAGTGTTTTTAATAGGACATGCAGCTAGACTCTTAGCCTAGGACCATGATGGCCAAACTATGGCATGTGTGCCTGAAGTGGCATACGGAGCCATGTCGCCTGGTCACCTGTTCCTCTTCCGGGTTTCTGGTGAGCATGCGCGCACGACAATCAGCTGGCCTTTTTGCATGTGGCAGTGCCGGAAACTAGAAGAGGTAGTCTTCTGTTTTCCTGCATGAGCATGCGCGCTGGCCAGCTGATGTGCGCCAGAAACCCAGAAGAGTAGCTGGCTGAAACTGGAAGTTCAGTGCTGAAACCAGAAGTTGATTTTCGGGCGCGCCGCACGTGGTGCCAAAAAGGTTCACCATCACTGGCCTAGGACAATAGAGGAACTGAAGAACATTGTTGATACTTCTTGCAGAAGCTTGTTGCAGGATCAACCCAGGTTCCTCTAGCCGAGGGGTGTCAAACTCGTGTCGCCATGATGTCATCACGTGACATATCATGACTTCCCCCCCTTTGATAAACCAGGCATGGGTGTGGCCAGCATGTGATGCATCTGGCCCGTGAGCCACGAGTTTGACACCCCTGCTCTAGCCATTTTGAAAAAAAGTCTAAAGATACACAATCTGGAGACGTCTTCATTTTAGGATTTTTATATCTTTTTTTGGAGTGCCAGTTTGGTGTAGTGATTAAGGTATCAGGCTATAAACCAGGAGAGGAGTTCTAGGCCTTCCTTAGACAAGAAAGCCAGTTGGGTGACCTTGGCCCAGTCTCTCTCTCTCAGCCCTAGGAAGGAGGCAATGACGAACCATTTCTGAAAAACCTTGCCAAGAAAACTGCAAGGACTTGTCTAGGCAGTTCTCAAGAATCTGACACAATTACATGGAAGGAATTTTTTTTTTCCTTTAGCCATGGCAGAGTCACTCCTGCATCCTTCCAATGTGATGAATCCCTTGTGTCTGACTATATTGCCCGGTACAATTAAGAGTGTAAAATATAAAACCTTTGAAGGATATCAGGCTGCCCTTCCCTGCTTGAGCCTATGAAGATATGCTTGTCATTATGTGATCAACAAGAGAAATAAAATTAGATGTCAGTAATATGAGTTTGAGGGATGCGGTGGCTCAGTGGCTAAGATGCTGAGCTTGTTGACTGAAAGGTCAGCAGTTCAGCGGTTTGAATCCCTAGTGCCGCGTAATGAGGTGACCTCCCGTTACTTGCCCCAGCTTCTGCCAACCTAGCAGTTTGTAAGCACGTAAAAAATGCAAGTAGAAAAACCTTTGGTAGGAAGGTAACAGCGTTCCGTGCACCTTTGGTGTTTAGTCATGCCTGCCACATAACCACGGAGACGTCTTTGGACAGCACTGGCTCTTCGGCTTTGAAATGGAGATGAGCACCACCCCCTAGAGTCGGGAATGACTAGCACATATGTGCGAGGGGAACCTTTACCTTTACCTTTAATATGAGTTTGCTGCAAAATCCTGTCTGTATGTTTACTCAGAACAAGAGCCACCTTGATCAATGGGCTAACCTTCCACTTGGACCATTATTA